ATCTGATCGAGAAGGCTGACGCTCGGATGGCCCGTCCGCGGAGAAGATGGGAATGGAGGTGACGGAGGATGAAGGACCAGAAGAAGAAGCTGACGAAACGGAGTGGCAGAGTTGACGTGTATTGGCTTTCAGTTTCTTATTTCTTTGGTAAATTCAAACACCCGCACCTTAGTCCTGTCCAAAACCCACTTGTCCTATGTGATCATTGCACAAAGGGCCCAAGAGATAGGGTATTATACTCGGGTACTTCTAGGTAACTCGGATAAGTGTGCTGGAGAGATGTATTCAATACCTAAATACATCTAGTATAATAAATTAATTAATTATATTATAAGAAACTGCATTAGTATTTCCGTAAGTGTTAAACTTCCAATCATCTATATTTTTTAAAAAAAGTATATCTTACTTTTACGATATTTTTTGAAAAAAAAACCTTTTTTATTTTTTTTAAAAGGTATTCATTTTTTTTGTGATATCTTTTTTGTAATTCCATAAATGAGAGTTATTGGGCTTCAACATTACATGCTTCCACTAGATCGGGTATGCCCCTTGTCACAGATGATAAGAACAACAATCTATCCTCCATAGTAGAGGAGGTGGTGGTGCTCAAGAGGGTGCGCATAGTCCTTCCGAACCTAAGAAAAAAATATAATATTAATTAAAACAACCAATAGGTGCCTCCTCTCACAAGATCAGTGAGACCCATTTGTTCTACTATATGTGACATCATTCACATGGGTGAAGAACCTATTACGATTATATGGGTGAAAGCGACGTGCGATAGATGATGATGAGGGATATTTATGAGATTAAAAAAGTTATTAAAAAATAATACCATTCGAGAAAAAAATAACAAAATATATCATAAAAATAAGAAATACTTTTTTCTAAAAATATAGATGATTGTAAGCTTAACTCCTATGAACCCCCGTGGTGGAGCGGATCCGATTGCACGGATATGACTTGACAAAGATTACAAGGTGAAGACAACCATAATAGGACGAAAGTGACGTCCATTGGATGACGATGAGCAATAAGAAAGAGAGGAACGGGAGGCACATGAACCTAGAGAACTAGGAAACTAAGATACCAGGTAATACTAGACTTGGGATCTCAAGGTACATGAACTTAAAGCAGAGGGTAGAGTCAAGTCGGATTTAGATGTCTTTGAAAACCTGCCACAATCCCAACATCTTTGTCGGATCAGGGAAATCTCACCACAATTAGATCAATGGCAACCTAGAAAAGCTGCAACACCAAAAACCAACCTCCTACTACCAGACTGAATTCATGAGATATTTCTCGGTGAAGCTCTCCCTTGCTTTATAGCATTTCCTTGCTGAAAACTTTATTTAAAAGATTATCTTGATCGATACAATCTTCTTTGAGATCATCATCCATTTTCAATCAGGTGCTCATTAAACAGATGACATCTAGAGGTCCTCTTGCTATGTTTTCAGCTTCACAATTGACTTCTGATGCAGTAGGGACTTCCATTCTCATTATGTACAGTGGCCAGGAACCCATAGGCAAGTGCCTAAGAATAAACAAACCTGTCTTGCCTTGGCTCCTTCAAATATCCATGATATGTGCAACTACTAGTGCCCTTAAGCTAGAAACAAGCCATTGAACAAGCCCATCAGCTTTGCAATGTGCAAAGAAAGAATTTCTGATGCTTTCATCCTCTAATAGCAGATTTCAATTGGGTCTTATCAAAGCATGGTCTGATAATAAACTTAATAAGAGATCTTTACTAAATCTTGATGTCACCACTTCAGGTCTCTTTCTCTGAGAAGCCAATTCTCCATTTGAGAAAAGGTGATCGGAATTTACTTGTTGCCATCAAAAAATATAGTTAACTGCATTAAGGTTGACAAGGTGATATCTTCTATAGGAATCATAGAGGAATTCTGATACCAATAGATGGAACATCAAAGACGATGATCCCTCCTAATAATAACGCTCGCATCATCTTTATCAATTCTCATGGCATAGCGATCTTAGCGATCCTCTTGAAAGTCCATGACAAAAGTATCACAGGCTATCCAATCAGTAACATCAAGTCACGCTACCGACAGAATCGCTGTTAAGAGAACAAAGATTGTCCACAGCCCGATACATATCACGGATGATGTCCTATCAACGGATATCGACCGAATTCTTATCCCTCCATGGTATCAATCAGAATCAATTCAATCCTCCCAAATAATAACAATCGAGAACGAACTTTTAGGCCCGGGGTAGCGAAACCCCTTGTGAATCAGCATACAGCGAAAGATTTATGCATAGATCGATCTGAAGCCCCCAACCTAGGTCAAATGAAACGGGATGGAGAACGAGGGGAGGGGTAGAGATGCCTCGCCGACGACGCCAGATCCACCGGAACCACCGATCGTCATTGATGAGAGCTTCTACGACCCTCGAGCTTGGTGATCTCCTCGCGACAACGGACGACGCAGCCGAAGATGATCTCGAGGCCACGGGTGGGATGGAAAGCCCAATTACGATGCGGGTCGATGTGATATAGCCGAGTGTGCAAAATTACATACAAACCCTCCCGAGTTACTTATATTTGCATTGAGTTGGCAAAGACGTTACATGCTAAAATTGAAAGGTAGAAGGATAAATATGTAAAAGTATATACTAACAAAAGATTATTAGTGTCATTAACTTAAGTAAAACTAATTAATAATATATGAATGTGTATATATCATTTGTAAATTCTTAAAAAATCTGAAAATATAATGATTTTTTGGATTTTTGTGAATATCATATACTTATTTGTTTTTAGGAATGATTGACTTTTCTGAGTTTTTTTCCTTTCGTTATAAAAAAAATAGATTTTCAAGTATTAATAATCTTTTGTTATTTACTTGAGTAGATGCACCCTTTTTTTTGCAATGATAAATTATAAATATAAGATTATGATCTTGTCTTCTCCTCAAACACCCAAGACTTATGAGATATTATACTCAAGTTATCACGACATAGATTAATTAGTTTATTAATTTTATTTGACTCAAAACATTAAAACCTTATAAATCAATCTTAATCTTGTCCACTTAAGATGTGGGACTACAGATCAAACCGATGAATCATTTAACTTCATTCGTATATAGCTTATTCCTATTCGAGCTCCTGAATATTATGTTGCTCTGATATCAAAATGTTTGGATTTGGGTCTGATTGACTATCAATTTTATTTGATCATAACCGTTAGCTAAAGTTGATAATAGTATATTCATCAAATCCTTATAAGTTAGACAACTCAAATGAGTCCTTATAAGCTAGACAACTCGAATGAGTGTGTTGGGGAGATATATTCAAAACCAAAATACATATAGTATAATAAATTAATTAATTAAATTATAAGAGACTGCATTAGTATTTTCAAAGCTAAACTTTCAATCATCTTTATTTTATAGAAAAAGTATATCTTACTTTTACGATATTTTTAAAACTTTATTTTTATTTTTTTTAAAAAATATTTTTTTTTTATGAAATCTTTTTTTAATCTCATTAATGTCTCTTATCATCATCTATCACTTGTCGCTTTCACCTATATAATCGTAATAGGTTCTTCACCCATGTGAATGATGTCACATATAGTAAAATAAGTGGGTCCTAGTAATATTGTGGGAGGAGGCATCTGTTATATTTATTAATATTATATTTTTTACTTAGGTTTGGAGGGCTATTCTTACCCTCTTGAGCCCTGTCACCTCATCTACGATGGAAGATCTATTCCTTGTGGTCATTGCTAATTACTTTTTTGTCATAACTCCCGTGGCCTCCTCCCCCCTACTTGTTAGCATCACTCATAAATATGATATGACGAATGTAGCAAAGTAAAGACAGTCGTAACAGAGTGAAAGCGATGTACGTTACATGATGATGAGGGACATTTATAAAATTATAAAAAAATAAAAAAAATATCTTTTGAAAAAAAGTTTTTTTTAATTATCATAAAAACAAGATATACTTTTTTTAGAGATATAGATGATTGGAAGTTTAACACATATGACAATACTAATACAAATTTTTATAATTTAATTAATTAATTTATTATACTATATTTATTTTAATCTTGAATACATCTCCCCAGCGCACTCATTTCAGTTATCTATATTAGAAGAATCTTTTTGTAGCGTAGAATAATCAGTCTATCAAGATTTTCATCTTGTAGGGTGATAGATTTTCATCACATATGACATATTATCACACTCTTCCCTCCTCTGTCTCCTCCGTTCCCATCTTATTATTAATTTTTTTATTTACTTAAATATAAGGTTACGATCTTTGATAACATATCTAATAAGATTAGACGAATGTGTTGAGTGTAAAACTTATTGGATATAAATTTATCGAATGAGGTTTATGCCGTGTTTGCTGTCTTGTTTTGGGAGGCATCCCTGCCGAGTGCTCCGGATCATCTATCACGTCCGAGCCAGCAACGAAGCGGCGGGCAAATGTTTTTGTTAGCTGGCGGACGCGGTCCCAAAGGCGAGACGATGACGGGGGAAAGAGGGGCCTTGTGGTCTAAGACCTCGCTAGCCGTGTTTGCTGCCTTGATCGTGATAGGCATCTCTATCCGACTCCCGAAAGTCACCTGTCTCAGCCGAGTCGTCAACGATGCGATGGCTGACCGTTATTTGCTGGACAACGCGGTCCCACACAATCGTCGAATGGAAAGGGACGTCCATCCCTGATCCGTGGATTACCCGAAGCACCGAAGCCGAACCAGCTTACCTGACCCGTCGTTGT